CCCTTGGCACCTCCTGGGAACATCCCTAAATTTGAATGGTGAAGGAAGATCATATTTTACATACATCCTTGGAAGGGGTAAAATGTTCTGAACTGGCAGCATTTCATTCTGACAACCTAGTCCTCAAGCTATGTACAGTGTAATTGGTGGTGACAGATTTCTCCGTAAGAGCATATAGATGAATTACAATATTTTCCCCACTTTCTGCTTTTCTCTTGTCCTTAAAAAATTATTAATGGATTATATTCATCCTGGGGCCTGGTAGCATGCTCAGTTTGTGCTAGGCAGCAAGAAACAGTTAGCAGTTGAATCCCCATTACTCGCATCTTTAGAAAATGTCTACCATTGAAAGGTGCAGGTAGACAGTGAGGTTCCTCAGCTCTAGGAGACATCCTGAGAAGTACAAGGGCAGAAGCACTGACTGCCATCATACAACAAGGCAGGGGCACACTACAGTATTTTTTAAAAAATATATTGACTGAGTATGAGTTGTATGGGCCATTTTCTTGTATTGCAGTGTAAAAGGAGGAGTATTTAGGTAAAAGGTCATTAATTTCTATATTGTGGCATGGTTGATAAAACACATAGTTGTTCTGTTTTTGTATGCTTGTTTATAAAATTTTTTTAAGATTTATTTATTAAAAAGAGTTACAGAGAAAGGTAGAGAAAGAGAGGTCCTCCATCCACTGGCTCACTACACAAATGGCTGCCTGGCTAGAGGTAGGCCAATCCTAAGCTAGGAGCCAGGAGCTTCTTCTGGGTTTCCCATGTGGCTGCAGGGCCCATCCTCCACTGCTTTCCCAGGCACATTACCAGGGAGCTAGATGGGAAGTGGAGCAGCAGGGACTTGAACTGGTACCTATATAGGATGCTGGCACTGCAGACTGGGGTTTTAAACCACTGTACCACAGTGCCGGTTCCATAGATGATGTTCTTTAGATAAGGAACACTTTTAAAATGCTGCCAGAATGTGAAAATCACGTGTGCTTTGTCAGCTTTCAGTTTTGACTTGTGTTGGTGATACATTCCAACTATGAGGAAACCCAAAACAAATAGGAATATCAGAATCTGCCTTTTCTAGAAGTGAGGACTTTTTTATTGGTATACAAATAGTAAAATTGTTCCTGACTGCAGCAAGAGAGAACTGGTTGGGCAGATGCCAGCGGTTTTTATGTCATACTCCTGTCCCCACATTCTCTTCAGTTTGGTAGTAAACTTCCTAAAGACTGAACTGAATTGCTTAGTTTGAGATGACTTAATTTGTGTTCATCTTTATCCCAAGTGCTTTCAGTGAATTCTTTCATGTAGTCCTTGGAAGCAGCCTGGCCTTATCTCCATTTTACAGATTAGGAAACAGTGGTGGCCGGCGCTGTGGCTCAATAGGCTAATCCTCCACCTTGCGGCGCCGGCACACCGGGTTCTAGTCCCGGTTGGGGCGCCGGATTCTGTCCCGGTTGCCCCTCTTCCAGGCCAGCTCTCTGCTATGGCCAGGGAGTGCAGTGGAGGATGGCCCAGGTGCTTGGGCCCTGCACCCCATGGGAGACCAGGAAAAGCACCTGGCTCCTGGCTCCTGCCAGGATCAGCGCGGTGCGCCGGCTGCAGCGGCGGCCATTGGAGGGTGAACCAACGGCAAAGGAAGACCTTTCTCTCTCTGTCTCTCTCTCACTGTCCACTCTGCCTGTCAAAAAAAAAAAAAAAAAAAAAAAAAAAAAAAAAAAAAAAGGAAACAGTGGTGTTGGCAAATTAGGTAACTTGGGGCCAGCGCTGTGGTGTAGCAGCTAAAGCCGCTGCCTGCAGTGCTGGCATCCCATATGGGTGCTGGTTCAAGTCCCGACTGTTCCACTTCTAATCCAGCTCTCTGCAGTAGCCTGGGAAGGCAGTAGAAGATGGCCCAAGCCTTTGGGCCCCTCACCTACGTGACAGACCCAGAAGAAGCTCCTAGCTCCTGGCTTCGGATAGGCACATCTCTGGCCATTGCAGCCAATTGAGGAGTGAACCTTTGGATGGAAGACCTTTCTCTGTCTCTCTCTATGCCTCTCCTCTCTGTGTGTAACTCCGACTTTCAAATGAATAAATAAATCTTTTGAAAAAAAAAAATTAGGCAACTTGCCGAAGATTTCACAGGTTATAAATGGAAGTTAGTATCTGAACCCAGCAATAGCAAGACTGGCTCCAGAGCCTTCCCTTATTTGCTCATCATAAAATTGTAAATAATACAACTTCTGCCTTTCAGAACTTTATTGAGATAATACAGTGAGAGACTTACAGCAATGCCTGTCACCTAGCAGGTGCTTAATAATTGACAACCACTATTGGTAATAATTTCCCTTAAAAACTATCATAGTGCTAAGAGAACACTTAGGTGTTTTTCATCTTAAGCCCTGTAGTGTGCTTTGTAATAAAACATTGGAAAGCGCTGAAGAAACAGACATGAAACAGAAAGAAGTACTGTAAAGTGTTATTGATCCCTATGATTAGAAATCATATTAGTAAATTTTGTTCACATGGAAAGGAGGGAAATCAAACAATGTCTTCAGGAAGTGGGAACATTCTTTATGTTTGCTATTCTTCACTTGTTTTCATTCTCAGCCTGTCCTATGAGTGATAGAAGAGCTGTACTCAAAAAGCTCACTCCAGGATCTGTATGACTGATAGCCCAAAGTGTTTTTTTTTTTTTTTTTTTTTTTTTTTTTTTTTTTTAAAGAGAGACATAGATCTTCTGGTTCACTCCCCAAGGCCTGCAACAGCCAGGACTGAGCCAAGCTGAAGCAATCCAGGTCTCCCTTGTGGGTGGCAGGGACCCAACTGCTTGAGGGTCCCTACTGCCTCCCAGGGTATGCATCAGCAGGAAGCTGGATATTTACATATAACCTATGTCTATCCTCCTATACACTTAAGATATATCTAGAGTAATTCATGTAATATCCTGTACGTTGTAGATGCCATATAAATAGCTGTGACACTGTATTGTTTAGGGAATAGTGAGATGACAAAGTCCATACATGTCGAGTACAGGCGCAGTTTTTTTTTGTTTTTTGTTTTTTAAGAAAAAAAAAAACTATTTCCAGTCTGGTTGGTTGACTCTGGATGTGTCACTTGCAGATTTGGAGGGCCACATGTATTTTGATAATGATCAGAGACATCTATTTTCACTTTTCAGACTTGTTTGCATGCAATCCAGGAAGTATTTGACATAGTTATTCCTACATCTTTTAAAAACTCTCATACATGTATGTATAAACTTTTAAATTTAGAAGCAAAAACTAGCCCTCTCCATCAGTACCTGGTGTTGTATATGGGATGTGACATTTCCTCATTAATTTTTTACTTTTATTTAAATATTTTTATGTTTCTGCAAGTTGGGCTTTCTTTTCAACAGAGAAATTGGCCACCTCTGTCACACCAGATGTTTGAGATTAAAAAATAAAAAACCCAAAGCAAGTCAACCCACCTTCTCACCTAGTCGGAGAAAGTCCCACATGTTACAGGGCTGATGTTACTGTAGGGTGCAACCTGATGATCAGAATCATTGTTTTTGTCTCAGGCTTCAGATTTTCATATCAGCTTGAGGTAAGAGTAATAACAGCAATATTTACTGAAAGTGCCTAGTGTGGCCTACTACTGTCTGAACTTCTTTGAATGCTTTCGTTCATTAAGTAGCCTTTTATTTTGCCATCTTCAGTCTGTCACTTCAGCAAAAGCTGTGTGTGTGTGTTATTTGTGTATTTGTGTTGCAGGGGAGCGCTAAATTTTATGGGTTTATGGGTCAATGCTTAATTTAGTGAATAAAATCAGACCAATAACTGTTTATTCTAAGCATGTTTTCTAGGACTTCTATACATCCCCCTAAGCCCCGAGTAAGAAAAGACAAACAGATGGAGAGACTAACAACTTTAGTTAAAAATGAATCAGTTGTAGATGTCAATATTTTTATTTGGGGGGGGGGGTAAATGAATCACTTCCAGGATTAATGGAAGTGGAAATACAGGAACTGTGGGTAGTGCCTCTGAAACATGGAAATAGGATTACAGCTCCCTCAGTTTGCCTCTGCTTACACAGATTTCCTCTTCCCTCGCTGCGGGATAGGTTCTGGTCCTCGGGACGCCTACTGTGACCTCCAGTTGTGGGTACCGAGACACACATGTGGGCGGCATCTCGCGCGCGGGGCTTCGGGCTGACACCTGGGCGGCTTTTCCACGCCGGCCCGTGGTTTCCTGCGTACCAGGCATCCGCTCTGCGGCGGTTTCCCATTCATGCTTTTTGACAACTGTGTGTCCGCCCCGGAGCTGAGGGCGCAGTGGCCCCTGCGCGAGCTCCTCGCCCCGAGACCCAGCCCCCGGCGGCGCAGCTCGGCGTTGCCCCGGGGCCAACCGGCCGGCTTCTCCTTCGGCGGCTGCGTTTCCGACTTCGCTCTGGCTCCTCTCCGGGGGCTTGACGTGCAAACTTCGCCGGAGCGAGCTGAGAGGGAGGGACCGGCGAGGGGGTGGAGGCGGCGGGAGGCGCCTCCGCTTAAGGGAGCCGGCCGGGCGCCGCCGCTCGGACGGACGCGCGGACGGAAGGAAGGAGCGGGGCTGCCGGCCCGGCCCAGGGATGCGAGCGGCCGCGGGGTAGGCAGCTCGGGGGCCGGAGGTGCGGTTCGGGCCTCCTGGTGACGAGCTATCGTGGTGGGGCGCCGGGCGGGGATGCGGGCAGCTCCGGCGCCGGCCTCCGCGCCGGGTCCTGCGAGCAGGGGACGCGGCGTCGCGGTGGCGGGCTCCCGGCGGCCCGAACTGTCTCCCGCGGGTCGCAGGAGGCGAAAGCGAAAGCGAGCCGGAGCCGCGGACTTTGCGCCCGGGGCAGGGGGCGGCCCGGGAGGAGGCGCGCTGGGGGCTGGGCGGCCGGGGGGCGCTGTCAGCGCGCCCCACCCGGCCTGCGGGCCGCGCACGCCGCCGGAACTCCCCGGCGCCTCCTTAAAAGCGGCCCCCGCGCGACTCTTTTTCCCCCTTTTTGTTACATTGCAGGAGCGGAAAGAATGTCGGAGCGGGCCGCGGATGACGTCAGGGGAGAGCCGCGCCGCGCGGCGGCGGCGGCGGGCGGAGCAGCGGCCGCCCGGCAGCCTCAGCAGCAGCAGCAGCAGCAGCCTCCACAGCCCCAGCGGCAGCAGCCGCCGCCGCGGCGCCTACGGCCGGAGGACGGCGGCCCCGGCGCCGCCTCCACCTCGGCCGCCGCAATGGCGACGGTTGGGGAGCGCAGGCCCCTGCCCAGTCCCGAAGCGATGCTGGGGCAGTCGTGGAATCTATGGGTCGAGGCTTCCAAACTTCCAGGGAAGGACGGTGAGTGTCCACGCCCTCCTCTGCGCACTCCACGCCCCCCCCCCCGCCCCGTCCCCAGCCCCTGCGCTCCCTTCCCCCCGCCCGCGCTGTGACCCGCCCCCGGGGGTCAGAGATGCTATCGCTCGCCGGGTTGCGGAACGCGGAGGTGCCCACACCTACCCCGTGCGTGCGTGAGCGTGCGTCACACTCCCGTCCGCTGACCTGCCTCTCCCCTCCTCCTGTGTGTGTGTATCTCCTAGGGACGGAATTGGAAGAAAGTTTCAAGGAGTTTGGGAAAAATCGCGAAGTCATGGGGCTCTGCCGGGAAGGTGAGTGCAGCCCCCATGGTGGAGTTGGTGCAGCCACGGGAAGTTTTCTTGGCTTGGCTAGGGTCGGGAACTTCAGCCCACCTCTCTCCGTCGCCCTAGAAGGATGCTGCCCAAGGCGGGGAATGGGAGGCAGAGCGTCTGAAAGTCCGGGGTGGTGGTGGTGGTGGGGAGGTTGCTTCCAGGCCTGGGGACCTGCCGGCAGAGGCCCGGCTAGGTGCAACCTGGGCAGCTTTCTGGGTGAGGAGCGCTGAGAGCCAGCAGGCAGTTTAACCTAGATCCCTTCAGGTCTGACCCCCTTACAGAGAGAACACGCACGCAGGCACGCAGGAGGGAATTCTCAGCATCAGAAAACGTTTCCACGAACGCTTGGTAAAAAGGAAGCCTTGCCACCCCATGTTTTCTTCTGGCAGTCAGTTAATTTTGAATTTGGAAAAAGACGACGCCATGCCTCATCCAGTCCTATTTCTGTGGGATTTAACCTACAGCTTTAGGCTGCTCGAAAAGGATCGTCAGAACCCAGGAGGACAATTCGTCATATTTTTTGTTGCCTGCCACAGTTGTTTTCGACGAAATCAAGGCTTTCGTACCCATAGCTGGTGAAAACAGATTGTAGTTGTTGGTTAGTTTTAAATCATTTAGTAGAGGGATACTCTAGGGAAGGAAGTACCTGCAGCTAAAGGTGTGCCTACAGATGGAAGTCAGGTCAGGTGTCTAGAATTCTCTTCCAGGAGTCAGTTGGGGCTAATGGCCTGCGCCAGACCTGAAGTCAGAGAGGACAAGGCCTTGGGTGAGGTTTGGTATCCAACAAGTGAGTTTATAGTCCCAGTGCAAATTTATTTCTTTCCTGGAGCCACTTATTTTGGCACAGTTGTTATCCACAACCCAAGAATAGGTATACCTATTTGAGAGGTGGCTGATTATTACTATCGGCAAGCTTTCCTCTTGTTTTTAGCACCTGCCTTTTCTTCACTTTCACTGTTTTGTTTCTTGAATTGACCATGTGGCCTCTTCGTGCTGTGAAAAGTAACACCAGTAGCAGCTCTGAGAGTTTCCAATTGGAACAGGTCATATAGAGAAATTAGTTGATTTTAAAAATGAGAAATGCTGTTTGATGGCAGTGGAAGGAGAGGGAGCGCACAGAACTTGTGGGTGATGTTGCAATAGGAAAAATCAGTTGTTAGTCCGGTTTTAGTGTTGAATTGGCAGCCCGCCTGGGCTTAAAAAATTAAAATCACTAGGTGGCAACTCTCATGGGAAATAGTTGAAGTAGAGCTTTAGAGGACCTGACCCACTCCTGTTCTTAGTTTTCCGTCTCTGGGTGTGGATATGTTTCCCATAAAGGGTTTCTAAGTCTGTGAAAACAGGATTTTTGGTAATCCCCCTATATAAGATGAGTAAATATGTTAGTGTTTCACTGGGTGCCATTGTCTCAATTGAGACTCAACCGAATTTAATGGCCTGGACGATGTTGCTGTTTTCTTATTTTCTGCTGGGATATATTCACAACAGATTTTCCATGAAGATCCAAGGCCTCTTTACTTGCTTAAGGCACAGAAGGCCAATGAATATGATTCTGCGTGCTTCTGATTCTGTTAGTACTTGTTAGAGGTCTCTTTTTTTGTTGTTTTTTTTTTTTTCTTTAAAATATGTATTTAGTTGAAAGGCAGATTAAGAGAAGGACAGATATGTAGTATCTGTGGCTTACTCCCAAAATGGCCATACCCACTGGGATTGTGCCACGCTGAAGCTATGAGCCTGGAACTCCATATTGGTCTTGGGTGCCTGGGACCCATGTACTTGGACCATATTCTGCTGCTTTCTCAGGTGCATTAGCAGGGAACTGGATGGACTCAAGTGGTCTTCTGATACAGGATGCAATGGTGGCTTAAATCTGTACCACAATGCTGGCCCGAATTCCTCCTCCTCCTCTCCTCCCACCCCTTTATTTTTCTTTTTTTTAAGCTGCTGTCACCATTTGGAGGATGCTGTAGCTATCATTCATGCCTGCCACCCTTGAGTAGAGGCTAAAGTTTTTTTTTAATAAAAACTTATTTATTTTACTTGAAAATCACAGAGAAGGAGAGGCAGAGAGAGAAGAGAGAGAGACAGAGATCTTCCTTCCATTGGTTCAATTCCCCATTTGGTCGGAGCTGGGCCTATCCGAAGCCAGGAGCCAGGAGCTTCTTCCTGGTCTCCCACATGGGTGCAGGGGCCCGAGGACTTGGGCCATCTTGTGCTGCTTTCCCAGGCCATAGCAGAGGAGGATAGGAGGTGGAGTAGCCGGTTCTCGAACCGGCGCCCATATGTGATGCCGGCACTGCAGGCGGTGGCCCTACCCACTATACCACAGTGCTGGCCGCAAGGCTGAAGTTTTAAATTCAGTCATTTCTTAATTTTGTGATACAGTGGATTTTTGGGGACAGTTTGAAAATCCAGGTTTTAAGATGTTTGGCACTCAGAAAATTGATCCTTTTTATGTTCTCCCAGCAAATAGCCCATGCCAGGCAGCTTCGGGAATGTGAATGCAATTATTACCAAATCTTCATGGCCTCTGTCCATTGTTTTGGGTTAACATTGTCTCCTACCAAGAAAAGGTAATTCAGAGCATTATCTGTACCAGTTTCTTATTTTTTAAAATCTATATGTTTGCAAGGCATAGTTCAAGGTATATAAAGAGATTGCTTTTCTGTCTATCTGTTCACATCCCAAATGCCTGCATAGTCGAGGCTGGGCCTGGCTGAAGCTAGGAGCCAGGAATTCCGTCCTGATCTCTCATGTGGGTACCAGTGCCCAAGCACTTGGACCATCTTCCACTGCTTTTCTGAGCACATTAGCAGGGAACTGGATCAGAAGTAGAGCAACCAGGACAAACCAGTGCCCATATGCCCATGTGCAGGCTACAACTTAACCTGCTATGCCACATGCTGGCCTCCAAGTACCAGTTCCTCTTGTCAGTATGAGTGAATTGAGGATAAAGATGTAAATCGTTGAAGTGAAGCTCTGGAAATCAGAAGCTCTCCATCTTGGGAGATTTCAGTTGTGTCCACAGGGATTAGAAAACTTGGATGTTGAAAGTCACTTAACCTTGTGTTCCTTATTTCATCTCTCTGAATGTAGCATTTCCTTTTTGGAAAAGAAGATGATAGTACCTGCTTCTCTAGGTTATTGTAGGAATTGAAATTAGAAAACTCATAAAATGACACAGTACGCTAATTCATTCCAACCCTTGAAACTGCTGATAATCGTAAATCTGACTTCCTAATTTTGTTATTTTCACAATGATTTATTTGAAAGAGTTAACAGAGAGGGAAGGAGAGAGAAGTCTTCCGTCTACTTATTTTTTATTTATTTATTTAAGTGAAAGGCAGAGTTACAAAGAAGTCTTCCATCCTCTGGTTCACTCCCCAGATGGCTGCAACAGCCAGAGCTGCGCCGATTCAGAGCCAGGAGCTTCCTCCGAGTCTCCCAGCTGAGTGGCAGGGACCCAGGCTTTTAGCCATCTTTTACTGCTTTCTCAGGCTGTTAGCAGGGAGCTGAATCAAAAGTGTAACAGCCTGGACTTGAGCCGGTACCCACAAGGGATGGCAGCTTTGCCCATTGTGCCAGCATGCCAGCCCCTCTGACTTCTAATTTGATTTTCATCTGTGTCGAGATTGTTTAACCTGGGACCCTTAAATAGGCTTCAGGGTAGCCATAGTTCTTCTGAAATTGTCTAAAAATTATAAATGTCAATTTTCTGGAGCAAATACCAATACCCACAGCTTCCTTTGGATTCTCAACACATCTCCAACCCGGGAGTTTAAAACTGCACATTTAGCTACTCTTTTTCTTTTGTATCTTTTCTCTCTTGGAATTCATTTGGCCAGTTACTCATAACAAGACTGCCCAAACATTAATGCCATGGAAGAAAGTTGGAACTATTGATTTAGATGGAAGTGAGATCATTTGTGGTTTAGCTAATATGCTTCTTCCTTTCGGGTGAGCAAATGTTAGAATAAAATTGTAGTTACGTTTCAGAGGTCAGCCTGTTTGTATTTTTTTTTTTTGCCTTGTTTTTCTATAATTGGTAATATTAATACCAATCTTTTCCCACCAAAATCAGTTAATACATTTTGACTTTTTTTTAAAGATTTTTTAAAATTTTTATTTGAGAGGTAGAGTTAAAGACAGTGAGAGGGAGAGACAGAGATAGGTCTTCCTTCTATTGGTTCACTCCCCAAATGGCCACAACAGCTGGAGCTGCGCCAATCCAAAGCCAGGAGCCAGGAGTCTCCTCCAGGTCTCCCACATGGGTGCAGGGGCCCAAGGACTTGGGCCATTCTCTACTGCTTTCCCAGGCCATAGCAGAGAGCTGGATTGGAAGAGGAGCAGCCGGGACTAGAACCAGCACCCATACAGGATGCCGGCACTGCAGGCAGAGGATTAACCTACTGTGCCCCGGTACCGGCCCCCATACATTTTGACTTTCTAACTGGTTATATTGAAGACAGGTTACTTTCCTCCAGCTGCCCAAGGTGATTTGGGAAATTCTGGACGTCCACAAATTTCACAAAATCTAACTTTGTGAAATTTAACAAAATTGTTTACATGGTTAATTGGTAAGAACAACTGAATAGGGTTTCCATATTAGGGCCTGAACACATAGGGAGCCTTAAAAAAGAAAATGTTAAGTGCATTACTTTAACAGCGAATTAAAAAAAAAATTGTAGAACTCAAACAGTGGCGTTGGAAAAATGACATTTTCTTTGGGAAGGTACTCCTAACTTCTTTTAAGTCCACCTATTGTATGATAGCATTGTACCGTGAACTTTCCCATCCTTGTCTCTCTCTCACAGTTTGAAAGTAGGTATTCTGTAGTGTCTCAGTTTCTAGAATGTAAGTTTTCTGAGGGCACGGCTACTGATGAAGGCATACTGCTTGGTACAGTGAATATTTGTCCCACAAGATGAATGAGTAGGCTGCTAGGAAGATTGTGTGTTCAAGTGACTATTTTCAGTTGT